CTTTTCCAGCTCTTTCCAGTTGGAATTCATCCTTGTCATATCCGCTTCTATTTCCCGACGTAATGTGTTCTTTGGCCTTCCACTTTTCCGCTTCCCTTCACGAATCCAAGTTAGCGTTTGTCTCGTAATGCAGTTTCATGATTTGTGTAATGCATGTCCTATCCATTTCCATCGTCTATTCCCAATTTCCTCTTTAGCTGGAAGCTGGTTTGTTCTCTCCCACCGAATGGTGTTGCTGATGATATCCGGCCATTGGATGTTGAGTATCTTGCATAGACAACTATTTGTAAATACTTGTATCTTCTTGATGATGGTTGTAGTAGTTCTTCAAGTTTCAGCCCCGTACAGTAGAGCTGACTGTCTTGACGTTCACATTGAAGATTCTGACTTTGATATCGGTTGACAGTTGTTTTAAGTTCCATACGTTCTTCAAATGAAGGAATATGGCCCTTGTTTTGCCAATCCTAGCCTTGACGTTGGCATCCGATCCTCCTTGTACATTGTTGATGCTTCTCAGGTACGTGATGAATTCCACATCTTCCAGAGTTTCCTCATCAAATTGATAATTGATTGACTACAGAACCTATGAATTCATGAATCTGATCATAGATAGATTACAATTTTGGTGCATGTTATTCAAAGAATTTGACATTAATCAGAATGTTACAGTGATAATAATGAAGAACAGAGAAAATGTAAAGCTATACGAATTGATTACTAATTAGTAATCAGTATAATAATTGATTATAATAAACCAATCACTTACTTACTTACACCTGTTGTACCTCGTGGAGGAGAATAGGCCACTCACCAGTACTCCGCCCATAGCTCTTCTAGAGTTAGTGTCGATCTCAAGCCCAGATAAAGGAGGAGGGTTGGGCTTGGGGTTGACAATCCTATCCCTTAGAATATATATATTGACATACTGATCATCACTCAATATATATTAGCAGTCTAACAGGATGTCAGTCATAGACTGAATATTTCAATCATAATGTCTCTTTTTGTGATAGTGAGTGTCGTAGATATGAATCACTTAAGGCGTATATGTTCTCTTTAACTAACAGATACTCCTGCTTCATAAGTGACAACTAACAGGAACAAAGTCTCCATTCGACTATCTTCAACCTGTTAACATTGAAAGTGAAACTATTTAAATATTTGTGACATTATTCGGTTTATGGTTGGGTTGAAACTTTATTATTCTATCGACCAAGTCGCAATGTGGCCAATAGTCTAGATGATATGAGATAAGATGTTGGTTGGAGGTGCACCCCATATCGAGTCACCTAGACTAGTGGATACGTTGCAACTTGGTCAATAAGATTCTATCTGCATTAGAAGGACCTGACAAACATGACAATGATCACCACCCAGTGATCAATCAATTATAAATACATCTCAGTCCTACAGGTCAGTGGCGGCCCGGATAGACCAGTGGTAGCGTCTATGACTGTGTAGTTGAGTGACACGGGGTCGAATCCGTCAGGAAACATCAGTCCTTTGCTGACGAGTATTAAATAGCACGAAACCTAGGTTAAGGGTTTCTTGTCAACTACCTCCAACTATCATCTTACACTTCTGTAGTAATAAATTATAAGTTTAATCTAGGACTCATGCTTTAGTTATCTGTTATTTCATTCATTCGGCGCTATGCTAACACTTTTAGGAATATCAATAAATATGAACTGAAATGACAATGCTAATAATGAGTGGTTGTAAAGTCTACTCCTATCTATTTACGGGCGCTCTCTTAACTTATTGTATTGAAAGATGAGCAGTTTTATAAACTCAAAGACAACAGTACTTTATCACAATGTATTGAAATGTCAGCGGTGTTCCTTCATTTTATAGTTTTTATTTATGATCAATATTCATTTTCAAAGAAACAATGTAGAACAATCTTCACAACTAAACGCATCTAGTTATTTCAATGGTCAAGATTATGAGTCAGTTGAAGCTAGATCACCATGGAAAACCTGAAAGCACTGGATGGCCGTTTTGACCTATTGTGGAACTCCGCAGCACCGCGCATCCACAATCTTGCCCCTCGCTGTATTCGAACCAAGGATCTATCAGTCTCGCATACGAGCGCTTCCAGGTTTTTCATGATGATCCATCTTCAATTGACTCATGATTTCAACTATTGAAATTATGATAATATTCACAAAACCCTCTTCTCATAATATAACTAGATGTTTCAGAAGGGGTTTTGTGGATATTGTAGTAATTTATTAGTTGAATACAGGAGTCAATTCAACTGAAAAGCCGTGACCAGTAGAGATTAATCAAGTCTGTTATGAGGCAGTAACCCACTGAAAACAATGATGGACGGTGGCACAATTTCATGAATTGATTGAAGTTAGACATTAACACAGTTGGATATGGGTTCTGTGGTCTAGAAGTTAAGCGTGCGCGTTCAAGTCCAGCAGGTCCTGGATCCGAACCCCGCGAAATAGAATCATAGATGCTCACTACTAAGCGGTTCTGTACTAGGACGGAACAGCCGTGCAGTACATGGTAGTCTAGCTTAAATTGGCTCATGAATTCAACTATTACATTCAATCATAGTTTAAAAATAACAATTAGACGACCTTGATGAAGAATTCTTTAAGGTGTCTGTTCATTTATCTTCTTATTAAGTATTGATTTATTCAATGAATTCCTTTTTATTAGTATCAAAGTAAGTCAATGTAGAAAGAAAACTGACTATGAAATAGATATGTCAAGAATCTTGAATCTTCTCAAGGTCACTTTAGAGTCTCTAAAAGATCGTCCACAAATTATAGTCCGATCATTGATCGGAATAACTATACATGTGACGTGTATGTGTATATGAATGGTGCAAATGGTCCACCAGGGTGCTTAGTATCTGTGTAGTTGCGACACAGGATTGAGCTGTACTAATCAGATTGTAGCGTTAAAGCCTATACGGTGTCTGGTTCTCCTGAGCTGTATTGCTCGGGTTATACAATTTAAGCCTGGACGGTGTCTTGCTCTCCTGTTAAACGGGATTGAGCTGTACTGTTTGGGTTGTTACGTGAAAGTCTGGATGGTGTCTAGTTCTTCTGATAAGCAATGTAAAATTACCATATCCCACAAGGGTATATCATATAACTATAACTATCATTAATCCATAAAGTTTGCGAGTATTTAAGCAAAATGAGATGACGACTCAGTGTTTCTTTAAGTGATATTAATTTGTGATTATGAAGCTTTATTTACATTACACAAGAAGAATATCATATGATCACGAGCATACAGCTACTAACAAGGAAGTCCTACCCAAGGCCGGAGTGTTGTTTACGAAAAGTGAATATATGGCAGTTCAACCGGCTTGTTAGATACAGAGTATCCACATAGGGGATTTGGAAAACTCTGATTCAAAACCAATAGTGCACATAGGTTAGACCTCAAAGTCAAAGGCTCGATGAGTGACACCCCTCAGAAAACCACCCGCTCCGGGAGCCCGTGACACACTAATCGAATGATTTATGTGGCGCATATCGATTTGGAGCCTCCTTGTACCAATGTTTCTGTACATAGAGAACAGTACGTTACTGATATTAAATCAACAATCAATTACATGTACACGTTATAATAAGACTACTTAAATATATGAACGAATTTCTGGATGTTACAGGATTGTCATAGTGACTCTTCAGCAGAGGTTATTCATGAACTCGTATCCGATGATTAAATCCAGGACATTCGGTCTCGCGTGCAGATGACTGACCTCCAGACCATTGAGCCGGAATTCAGTAGTGTAGAAATTTTATGTCCGTCAATTCACGATGTTGTATGACCATCTACCATCTTTAGTAAGTAACTAACTTCGTTACATCCTGCATTGTGGAACTTCATTGGTTATGGCTTCTTACTAGAACTCTACAAGTTGCACTTCGAAGGTAATCACTAATGAAAACATGAATATTATGTGGGAATTTGCTCAGATTGTAAACTTTTCATAAATTAAATCATGAAATGATCTTAGCTGGAGGATCGTTGAAAAAGTGATAGTCTAGATGACATCACTTGGTGATTTTACCTACGAGAATATTACAATCTGCAAAAATTTCCCGAAACAAGGAGTGTATACACAGATGCCATTGTGATCGATTCAGAGCCACGTCACTTAGAGTCTTCAAGCACTGATTATGATAGTCGCGCGGACCACAACCAAGTATTCTTTATCTACGATATCGCTCAACCTAGAAGTTAGTGACTTCAATGACTGATGTCACGTTTTGATTCGGCCACCCCTAACTTTCTTCCAACCATCGCTGACACTAGTTATCATCGCGCGTCATGGTAATCGGTGTCCGAACATACGCAACACGTGGCCCAACCATCTCAGTCGATGGAGATTCACAACCTCATCAACTGATTTACCATCATTTTCTAATACCTTGAGTTTAACCTCACTATTACATACCCGGTGGTCCTGGCAGATACGAGCATTATTTCTAAGACATCGGTCGTTAAATACTAGTAGCTTACGAGTATCCCCCACACATAATGGCCAGGTTTCCTAGCCGTAAATTAGAATAAAAGAAACTGTCACACAGTATATTCATCCTTTTATTGATAGACAGATATTTCACCTTCGCCATAAATGACGTAAGTTGGCAAAAGCCAAACGAGCTTATCGAATCCACGCAGAAATTTCGTCAAACCTCCACACATCACTATGATAGCTGGAAATGAAATCCTCAATGGAAAGTATATTCCTAAATGTAACATTCACCCCACTAACCAAAGAGAATGTAACGAGAGAATGCATACAGCATAAAGCATAAAAACAATGAACACTGATAACCAGATTCATAAACATGTATCTTATCCTTCAGATATCTAGTTGATCAGTTGCAGTTGTAGTTGTTGTTGTGTTTTGCTTATAAACACTTTAACTTCACATTTTCACTAAAATCTTTTTATTCACTTCAGATAAATTATCATAATCGACTGTCGAATTGTAGTTCACTCTACAGACTGATTAAATGGCCACTGTTTCTGGGTAAGTTCCTAAAAACATTTTTATTATATGCTATTAAGTATTTCGTGGATTAGTTGAAGTTAGACATTAACACCGTTGGATATAGATTCAATGATCTAGAGATTAAGCATTCGCGGTCGAGACCGATAGGACCTGGGTTCGAATCTCGCGATGCGAGGTCGTTTATGCGCACTGCTGAGGAGTCCCATTAATAGGACGAAACGGCCGTCCAGTGCTTCCAGGTTTTCCATTGTGGTCTAGCTTCAATTAACTCATGGTCTTAACTATTAAACTGTTGTATCATATTGAAGAGGTATGCCTCTTTTTATTAAGCAATATTTGAAGATCATTTCATCATGATGTTAAGTTCTATTACTGTTTAGTACTGTACAGCCATTTAATTATCTCTTAAGACTCTTTCTCAGTAATGACCCAAATATCTCATACATGAATGTGCTTTACACTTTAAACTCTTCTCTGATAAACACGATATCTCAATGAAAATGAATCCTACTTCCGTTACTCCACAATGTAGCATAATGATCAGTAGATTCCTTATCAGAAATGGTTGAGCTCTAACAAATACAATATCTTACTGTAACTATAAGAGTTCACAAAGCTATCAATGATCCTTTCACATCACCCTATTATTACCAGTCAAGGTACCGAATTGATGTGATGTGTGAATCTTTGAGAATGGGTAATTAAAGATGATTTTCATAATCGACTGATATCAACTAATAAATAACATATCTTGTATTCAGATGCTTAAACAATGACTCTCAAATAAAGATGAAATCCAGATCGCGTGTTTCGTCCTATCCGAAGCTCATCAGCTGGATGTACTTGCATGTTAGAGTTGATATTCAATACGGGACTCGAACCTAGTACCATTCACTTCAAATGATAATACATTATCCACTTAGTTAAACTTCTTTTATTAATAATAACAATCATATTATTATTATTTGTATAGATTTGGAATAACACGTTCATTAATTCATGCATTTGATCCACATGGTAAACATTACAAACCAACAATTAAACCAACAACTGGTTTTTCAGCATCAGCTGATGCTGAACGATTACATCGAGCTATGAAAGGTCCAGGTTAGTAGAATAAAAATTATAGTAAAGAATGTTATTTGAAAAGTAATTGTTTGTGTGTGCGTGTGTGAGAGAGAGAGAGAGAGAATAACCAACTTTAGTCAGTGTTGAATATAAGTGTGATATCTAGCATGTTCAAGTAGTTTTCTATTTAGTTAGTATGTCAATGCTGCACATACTTACTTCATTACTTACTTACCCCTGTTACATCCAGTCGAGCACAGTCCGCCCGACCAGCATTCTTTAATCTACTCTGTCCTGGGCATATCTTTCTAGTTCTATCCAATTCTTATTCATTCTTCTCATATCTATCTCCATTTCTTGGTGTGATGTGTTCTTTGGTCTTCTTATTCTCCTTTGACCTTCAGGATTCCATGTGAGGGCTTGTCTTGTGACACAATTGGGTGCCTTCCTCAATGTGTATCCTATCCACTTCTAGCGATTCTTCCTGATTTCTTCTTCCGCTGAGATCTCGTTTGTTCTCTCCCATAGTAGATTGTTGCTGATAGTGTCTGGTCAACGGGTCCGAAGTATTTGGCGTAGACAACTGTTAATAAACACCTGTATCTTCTGGATGATGACTTTCGTAGTTCTCTAAGTTTCCGCCCCATGCAGTAGAACTGTCATGACATTTGTATCGAAAATCGTGACCTTGGTGTTGGTTGACAATTGTTTTGAGTTCCATATGTTCTTTTCAATAGTAGGTATACTGCTCTTGCTTTGCCGATCCGTGCCTTCACATCTGCATCAGATCCACCGTGTTCATCAATGCTGCTGCTTAGTTATGTAAAGGTTTTTACATCTTCCAAATCTTCTCCGTCAAGTATGATTCGATTGGTGTATGCTGTGTTGTATCGGAGAATCTTGCTTTTCCCTTTGTGTATGTTGAGACTTACTGCTGAAATGATCGTTTTCTCCTGCATTTGTTGTTGTGTGTGTAATAGAAGAGCTATATCATCTGTGAAGTCCAGATCGTTCAACTGAATCCTAGCTGTTCATTGTATCCCATGCTTCCTCTGCCCTAGATGTTAACGTTTTCATAATCCAGTCGATCACCAGGAGAAAAAGGAAAGATAAGAGTATGCAGCCTTTCCCGACACCGGTCTTTACTTCAAACGAGTCTGTCACCTGTTCAATATTGCATATATGATCATGATTTTCACCTGAGATTTTACTTCAGTAATATATCTGTTCAATCCACTGTTTTCTTACATGGTAGCAATGATATACTAAATGAACAGACCAAATTGTCAAATATCACACATTTATTAAACACTTTCAAATGTTGGTTACTCTTTATTCATTTAAGTTAAATTGAATGTTGAACATTGTTATTGTTTTATTGAATATAAGTTGTTTATGTTTATCCTTGAATTTGATTGTATAGACAAACAGGATATAAATAACCAATAAGAAGTCCAAGATACATAGATGTTTTTTTATAGTGTGTATGAACTAGAAAATGGACATTTCTGGGGGGGGTGAGAGAGACTAGTTACTACTAATTCATTATAACTGTCAATAACTAAGATTACAATTATGCATCGATTATAATAGAGTCTACATTGATGTTTAGGTATATTATGTAACAAAGAAACATTATTAATTAATATATTCTGACACCGTTGGATGCCAGCCGGCTCAGTGATCTAGAAGTTAAGCGTTCAAAAGCGAGACTGATAGGTCCTGGGTTCGAATCTCGCGAGGTGGGATCTTGGATGCATATTGTTGAGGAATCTCACAATAGAACGAAACGACCGTCAAGTGCTTCCAGGTTTTCAATAGTGGTCTAACATCAATCGGTTCATGACATCAGTTAAAAACTTGATAATCTTTACAACCCTATACTGTGATAATAGTTTAGGTGTTTTTCTTGGACAACCAGAATCTCCAACGACCCTGTTTTTCCATTTTAAAGCGAGAATTAAGAAAAGGTTATCTCTAATGATATTACATCTTAACTTGATATGTGAATTTCTACAACGGGCTGTAAAGTTTGAAGATGTTACACTCATGATCTGTTTGCTGAGAATAACTTCTTTAAATCTAGATTAAAACCTTGACAGGATAGGCTTAATGACTTAAACTTGAGGCTAGTTTGTGTGAGTTCGAAGTGACACCAACTGTTTGGGGTAGAGAATAAAATACTATTGTATCACCCGGTTGACTGACAAGCATGAGAGAGTGTGAAGACAAGTCAACTGGAACACTACTCGAAGTTAGATATTAACACCTTTGGATATGCGTTTGGTGGTCTAGAGGTTAAGCTTACGCGCACGAGACTAATAGATCCTGGGTTTAAATCTTGCGAGACGTGATCGTGGATGCGCACTATTGAGGAGTCCCATACTATGACGAACTGGCCGTCCAGGGTTTCCAGGCTTTCCATAATGATCTAGCCTCGATTGATTCATGATCTGAACTATTAAAATTATTATTCAATTTATTCCCCATTCAGATACATGAATAAATAGATGAGTAACCCAACCACAACGCACAAACAATTAGGACAATACAATTACATCCAAAACTGGGGATTAGAATAGAAAAGATTACGTTTGAATTACAATAGCTATGAAACAGAAAAGGCTATAACAGTGAATTCTTACTTACTTACTTACTTACTTACTTACTTACTTACTTACTTACTTACTTACTTACTTACTTACTTACTTACTTACTTACTTACTTACTTACTTACTTACTTACTTACTTACTTACTTACTTACTTACTTACTTACTTACTTACTTACTTACTTACTTACTTACTTACTTACTTACTTACTTACTTACTTACTTACTTACTTACTTACTTACTTACTTACTTACTTACTTACTTACTTACTTACTTACTTACTTACTTACTTACTTACTTACTTACTTACTTACTTACTTACTTACTTACTTACTTACTTACTTACTTACTTACTTACTTACTTACTTACTTACTTACTTACTTACTTACTTACTTACTTACTTACTTACTTACTTACTTACTTACTTACTTACTTACTTACTTACTTACTTACTTACTTACTTACTTACTTACTTACTTACTTACTTACTTACTTACTTACTTACTTACTTACTTACTTACTTACTTACTTACTTACTTACTTACTTACTTACTTACTTACTTACTTACTTACTTACTTACTTACTTACTTACTTACTTACTTACTTACTTACTTACTTACTTACTTACTTACTTACTTACTTACTTACTTACTTACTTACTTACTTACTTACTTACTTACTTACTTACTTACTTACTTACTTACTTACTTACTTACGCCTGTTACTCCCAATGGAGCATAGGCCGCCGACCAGCATTCTCCTGGGCCTTCTTTTCTAGTTCCATCCATTTTGTTTGATGTCGAATTCAAAAAACAGTGAATTCTACATCAAACAAAATCTTTTAGTCTGTAGAATAGACTAGGGACAAAAGTAAATGTTACTGTTTTACAAGCTTTGAATTAAATGAAATAACGTTTCCAAAAGTAGCTTCTGTAGTTTATAAAGGCTCCTTGTTCTCTTGTTCACATTACAAAAGTACATAACTAACAGGATTTCGACTTTGCAGATGACCTAGCTCTCCTATCCCATACACACGAACAAATGCAGATAAAGACAGCCAGCATAGCAGCAGTCTCTGCATCAGTAGGCCTCAAAATACACAAAGGGAAATTCAAGGTCGTCAAACACAACACGGAGAACAGCAATCCAATCTCGCTTGATGGCGAAACTCTGTAAGATGTGGAATCCTTCACATACCTGGGAAGCATCGTCGATAAACAAGGAGGTTCAGATGCAGACGTCAAGGCGAGGATTAGCAAAGCAAGGACAGCATTTCTTCAATTGACGAACATATGGCACTCAGAACAACTGTCAACCAATATCAAAGTCAGAATCTTCAATACCAACGTCAAGGCAGTTCTACTGCACGGAGCTGAAACTTGAAGAACTACTACAACCACCATCAAGAAGGTACAAGTATTTATCAATAGCTGTCTACGCATGATACTCAACATCCATTGGCCGGATACCATCAGTAACAGCCTTTTGTGGGAGAGAACCAACCAGCTTCCAGATGAAGAGGAAATTAGGAAAAGACGATGGAAATGGATAGGACATACATTGAGTAAATCATCAAACTGCATTACGAGGCAAGCGCTAACTTGGAATCCTAAAGGAAAGTAGAAAAGAGGAAGGCCAAAGAACACATTACGTTGGAAAATAGAAGCGGATATGAAAGGGATGAATAAGAACTGGAAAGGATTGCCCAGGACAGAGTTAGATGGAGAATGCTCCTTCACGAGGAGTAACACACGTGCGTAAGTAAGTAAATAAGCAAGTCTCAAATCGTTAAGACTTCATTTAGACTAGTTCATATCTTAAATACTTCAATAATGGTATCTTTTCATATTGTGGGTAACAAAGGAGTGGTAAGCAATCAGATATCTTGATTTCCGCTTTATTTATAATCGAATCCCCACTTCTGATTGATTATACACTAACTATAGTGATTAATATACAATTGGTCATCTATCCAACACATTTTAACTGTTATATCTCTTTCCTTATTACTCAAATTACTATTGGCGATTTGTGTGTGTGTGCGTGTGTGTGTGTGGGGGGGGAGAATTGTTAAGACAATTCTGAAATTTCCCATCCCGAGTTTATTTGGCTTAACAAGGTACTTTAATTTTGTCAAACAATGATCAAGGCCAGAGTATAGTTTACAGATAAGATTGGAACAACGGTGAAGACTTTTCATTGTGGATTTAGTCAGTCAGTAAGTTGATTGCTATTCAGAATTAAGTATTCAAAGTAGGAATAAGAGTTCTCATCATGAACTGACACCAGCTTTCATGTAGAGATACTCTGTCTTCATATATATATATATATATGAATAACTTTCGTGCAATTATAGCATGGTGACAAGGCTTGTTTTTTTTCCAAGGATTCAGTGTTTAAGGTCAAAATTGAAGGATACTTGTATC